TATTTTTAACGTGATAAGAAGGATGTGAGTGGTATAAATATGTAAAGCAAAAGTTTAGGTGTTGAGTTTGTAATTGCATAGGAATTAGGTGGTTGAATATGTAAATGCCCAAAAAGATTTTCACAGAGGAAAGATAATAGAGATATCTAAGATATTATTAAATTTGATGTTTATAATACTCGCCTAATAACATGAGTTTTAAGGCTTTATTAATAGAAGAGAAAGTGATGCTTTGCCCAACTGCCCCTCCCTTTATTTCTTTTCTCACAACGAACAATTACAAAGACTTTGTTTTTTTCCCAGAGAACCTTAATAAAGCCAAAAAAGATCCTGCATTCAGTAATTTATCACAAAAAACTTTATTTATTAATCATTTTGGCTGAGCTTGATTGGTGATTTGAATTTATAAATGCTTTTAAGGTTTTTAATTAAGAGTTTATCTGACATATGAGCTTATAGTTTGTAGCTTCTTCTTCGACCATTGATGCGTTATATTAATAAATGGGCATTTACATACAACCCACACTTTTTTTTATATATTTATATATATCTATCACCTAAACATTTGTATTTACATGTATACCAGTGGAATTTATTATCTTCTTAAAAGTGAAATACACCTTTCCATCATAAGTTTAAGACACTATGGTGTTATAAGTGTAAAAAATCAAACTAAGGTGTTAGATATGTATATAAATAAGAATTGTGTGGTGTATACGTTTATTTCCCGTTAATCAATATGAATACGATACATTAAGTGAGAGATGATTTATAGCAAAAAATAAATTCAAACTAAGGTGTTAGATATGTATATATATAAGAATTGTGTGGTGTATACGTTTATTTCCCGCAGTTTATTTCTCGTTAATCAATATGACTACAATGCATTAAGTGAGAGATGATTTATAGCAAAAAATAAATGTCACTTTAAGCCATCAATCAAACAAATGATCAACAAGAGCACCAACCGTTTTGGCTTGGATCAAGAATAAATATAGTAGAGGTTTTTAACTTGTCAATCTCTCCATCTAATAAATATAATTGAAGTCTTTGAAGAAAACATGTGATAGTTTGTTCTGGATTGGATCAAGAATAAATATACTAGAGGTTTATAACTTGTCAATCTCTCTATCAAATAAATATAATTGAAGTCTTTGAAGAAAACATGTGATGCAAATGTCCTAATCTCATACATAAATTAACGTGATAAACTACTTCACATTTCTTTCCGATGTGTAAAAGTTTAGTGAGATATTTAGAGTTAAAATAAAGTTTTTTTATCGCCCAACATATTAATTTGATTGCAATCATAAAGAATGTCTAAAGAACATTCAAAGTGAACAGTTAAGGGCCCCATCATGATAAAATACAAAAGAAAACATGATAACCCAGAGGTTATGATTGTGTTTATAATTACATTTTTGTTTCTTTAGACAAACACAGTAATCCATGTGGTTCATGACAATATTTATAAACTTATGATGTGGTTTCACTATAGTTACTCTCTTACATGATTAATTGTGGTAGTATAATTAGTTAGAGTCATCAACTCATGAGGCTAGTGAGGGCAATAGTTTCCAATCTACCCCTTAGTTTTTCTCAATCTATGAAGTTCCCATAAATAATATCATATATATAGAAGTTTATTTAAATCAATAAAATTCTATCCATCTACTTGTGATACTAACATAAATCATATAAATAAGATCTTATCATACATGAATTTTTAAGCCATATGCGATACTAAAAACAAAATGACGAAGATAAGATAAGCTCATTATTTTTTTGAAGTATTAATCCATTTAAGCTAATTAAATTCTAATATATATCCCCTAATTATGTATCAAACATCTAAAATTTTATAAATAAAATCTAATTTTCATTTAAGTAACCCCCACAAGTTGATATACATTTAAGTTAAAATGATATAAAAATAAAATGCAATTAATAAGACTTAAACTCAACATTAATTTCACACTATTCATCACTAATATCTATAAAGTTTTAAAAGTTAGGTATGCATACAAATCAATAGAAGTTATTTTATACATCTCATGATATCATCAAAGGACAAAAGAGTCACCACCATTAAAGATGGAGGTGGCACTAATGGGCCCCACAAAACCATTGAATAAATATAATTTGAAAAACCTCACTACCACTTGGGTGAGAGATAGAAAAAAAAGTACCAAAACCCCACCACCACTTGGTGAGGGATAAGGAAAGTACAATGCTTCATGTTGCTTTCAGGCGCAAAAAGATAAGATCTATATATAAAAATCAAGATTTAAACATTATTATTAATTATAATTAGCAACATAATCGGACAATTAATACTTGAACCGGCTAACCCAAAGACAAAAGGGCCGGCCGATGACGGACCAATCGATGGAGCACTCGGCCCAGGCATTAGCCCATCACTGTCTGATGTCTTGTAAGCCGACGGCTGACGTTGACCGGCCCATTACCCCATTACGGGTCACACGATGGAGAAACAGTACAGAAATAAGAGTCTAGCTTTATTTATTTTCATGATAAGTGTGGCCAAGCTAATGACATCATCGCTTAGACAATCAAGCTCGATGAAAACCAAATTCACAATAGAGTAGCGGCTTGGTACACCGAATTAAGTATCAATTTATGTGGAGAATTACATGCAAATATACTTATTTACAAAATTATCATACAAACTAAATAAATTAGTAAATTACTAATGATATATTAAAATATTGAGACTGAAAGTTGACATTTTTGCTGTGAATTGTTAAATTTTGGGGGTGATTTTATAATTATGGAGAACTAGATGGGTGATGATACATATGAAATAGCTTTAAAATTTTTTTATATATGTGTGCTTTTAATTTTTTCATGCTTTTATTTGCTTTCTTTCCATGTGACACTAATCTCTCTCTCTCTCTCTCTCTCTCTTCCTTCCTCTTTTACATTGGTCACCAACCTTATGACATGATTGCTTAGCAAATAAGCTCAATCAAGTCAAACATTTCGCACCCAATATAATCTAGAGGCGGGCAATGGATGATTCAAATTGAATTAAGCCGTAATTTTATTACTAAGCCTTATTTGATTCAAAATTTTTAGAAAAAGTCAACTATCAAATGGCAGTTTGGCTTAAGCAATTAAGCTTAATTAAAAGCCTAATCCACCCACAATATGATCAAAAGGAAGCTTATTGATTAATGATGACAGTGGCGGAGCCAAGTTATGTTTATAGCGGGCAATTGTCCCCTAAAATCTGAGATTTCATGATGTAGACAATAAAATTTAATATTTTTTATGTAATTTAGGCGATTTAGTAATTCCAACCAAGTTATGTATGTGATTCTTTTAAGTGAATTCTTATCTTTAATTTTTTTTTAAAAAATAAATTGTAATCCTCCTTTTAACCCAATCAAAACCATAATCTAAACTTATTGTATCGAATCTTAAGATCATAACAAAACTTTTGAACAAGTTAATATTGATTGTTTTGTGTTGTTCTGATAATCAACCGGATAATCACATCAAGAAATTATAACCTTGAAATTTATTTTGATATAATTTTAGAAGGGAAAAATACAAATATACCGCATAATTATTATGTATTTTTATATCTAACACATAAAGTTGTATATTTATATTTATAATATGAAACTTTTTTTAATTAGTAAGAGTGGAATTTTATATGTGATATTATGGAAATATTTAAGTTAGCTAGGTTTTGAAGTGTAAATATGTAAGAATTGTGTGTTTTGTAAGTTAATGCCCCCATTTGAAAAATGCATAGATTTTATTATAATGCCTAATAAAAACAATATGTTATCCGACATGTAGACGCTCTTTTCGTAACCATCTTCTTTAAATATTTTCACACTAGAAATGGTTACTAGCAAAATAGCATGCCAACCAGAACACATTCTAATTTTTACTTTTATTATTTTCTTTAATTTCTTTGGTTGAATCTCAAAATATACATTTGATGCATGTAATATTCGATTTCAAGAACTTTATAGTGAGTTTTAAACTTTTAATCAATTAATTTAGTTGACACTCACCAAATTTAAGTGATTTGTTTCAAGAGTTCTAACACATCATTCAACTTCTAATTAAGCCATTATTCAACAAGTGGCATCATCTCAGCCAACCATTTAATTAATTTACAGCAGAACTAATACTTAACTCATAGAAAGCACTATCTCCCCCTTCACTTTATAGAGCCCGTTCACGTGCAATAATAATAACAATATCAATTTGCAAGTTGCTCGAACCTTTATTTACTTTTCATTTTTGCATGATAAACTTGTAACACCTAAACTTTTAAAATTTATTTATCTAAAACATCACAAAAAAATATCATTTTAATACTACCTTTTTGAATGAAATACACATTTATATACATAAGTTTTATATGATTATAACACTAATGTGTTAAATAAGTAAATATTATATTTTAGGTGTGTATATAAATTTCCCTAACCTCTTATTAATTATTTCGTCAGTACAACTTCATTTTATCTAACCTAATTTTATTTACATGTACTGAGAGCTCATTTACTACATTAATAAAAACAAAATAGCATCAAATTAATAAGACGATGAAGAAAAACGCTACATAATAAAATGTATTTATTTAATTATCTTCTATATTGACAAACTTCTGATATCTGATATGAAGTCTCATTAATGTATATATATCTTCTTCTACTAGGAATCTTCCTCCTCTATAATGCCATTAACGACCACAAAACAGCGTGAGAGTTCATTCATTGACGACTCAAAATAAATTGTAACCACCAAACAGGCTTTTTTATGTTTTACCATGATACGCTATCTTGCTTTCAATCATGCAATTGAAAAGTCGCCATGTGGGCAGGTGATGCCCCACGTGAGATGCGCACGGGACGACGACATGGAGGTCGCCGGCGATGAACCGCCGGCGATCAACATACTGAAAGTGGAAAACTTTAATCTTTATGCTGTGCCACATTCGAAATCCGAAAGCATAAAGTTAAAAGCATTTCATTCTTACTAATATTATTCCATTCCCAACTATAGTCACACAATTCTCTCTCATTTCTAATCTCTTCTGCTAACTTCGTATATACATTTAGACAAAGGATTAAGTCTATAACAAAGCATATACTAACAGTTTTACTAATAAAAACCTTCACTTCACAACATTGTTCCTGTAAATGCAGCGAGCTTAACTGAGCTTGCCAATCTCCTGCTCCTCCTTTTATCTAGGGAGGAAACCCAGCACCGGCCTCCGCAAGCAGAAGCGCAGCGTGCCAAGTAATCGGAGATCTTATTATGCGTTCATTTAAACTATATATATAGATATATAGACTATACACACCTAAACGAGAGAGAAAGGAGGCTTCTTGATTCGAATAATCGAAGCCATTAGTACTCCATGATGAGGCTGCTAAAGGGGGCGCGGTGCGGAATCCCCTTCCTTCTCTTCGCCGTGCGGTAGCTGAATGCAGTGGGCGGCGGCGTCGAAGGTGTAAAGCTCTGCACAACTGTGCTCGAATAGGACTCATCCGAATCCGATCCTGCTGCCTTTCTGTTCTTCTTCCCCTGTTTCTTGACTCCGGTTTCATTTGATGTCCCAACAATCTGAATATTTTGGGTGATTTAGAAAGGGGGCGATGGAGATTGAGACGAGTAAATTGAGAAACAGGTAAAAAGGCGGGACCTTGCAGCCGAGAGAACAGAAGCGAAAGCAGTCGAGGAGGCTCCGCTCGCAAACCTCGCAGGTGTTGGTGACCCCTTTTCCTGGCCTCGGCTGCGGCCGTTCGTTGAGGAAGACGACGCGAGCGCTGTTGATTATGTAAGTCTGCACGCCGCTGATGTCCAGTACTTTTTGTATCTCGGAAACTCTAATCACATCGTGATATGATGATCTCCTAATCTGCAATCGAGAAGAAATCAGTCAATTGCAAGCTCCGCCATTGACGGTAAACCAAGCCGAGCCAGAAAATGCAAAATTGCTCCGTTTTATTTTTTCCATCTGAAATCAGAAAGGCAGTGAGAAGGTGGATAAATTAAGAAATGACCTGGATAGCGCGGTGGTCGCGGTGGTACGCGAGGCAGAGAGAGCAGAGAGCGCCGTTCATACAGTCAAGACAATACATGTTGCACTCGCTCTTGTGAGCATCAGCATGGAGCTTGCATTGAACGAAGAAGCTCGTCGAGAGCAGAGGCCGTAGCCACGGTGGCCACCGGCCGCCGGCGTCCTCCTCCCTGAAATCGTCCAATAAAAATCATCAACAATCCAAATCTGCATCTTTAAGCAAGCAAAAATCGTAATATCCTTCGACGCAATTGAAGCAGAGCTTACTCACCATGGCTTTCTCTTCACTTTCAGCTCTCTAATGGCCGTCAATGGTCAATTATAGGGAGAGGGGAGGGAGAGGGAGAAAAGTCGGAAGGCGGTCGATTTAGAGGAGAGTGTGGTCGTTCTTATCTGCTCGAAGTCTTCTCCCCGAGCCTTTGCTTTCGAACCCGAGCCTCTCAGAGATGCGTTAGTTGCAAGGAAACCTTTTTTTCATATGGCTGCTGCCCATTCCCATTATTTATTGCAGTGTCACCTTATAAGTAATCTTTCTTAATTCAAGTTTTAGAAGACAAAATAACTTTCTGGCAATTACCATTTGGGACTCGAAATTGCAGCAAATTACACAGATACCACATATGATTAACGAGCGCTAAGCACTTAACCACTTGCTAACTTTAATCCTGTAGTGGACACGAGGAATCATCCTTCCCCTTTACATTCTCTCCAATGTCCCGTCGAGGCTGTGATTGTAAATTCTGAACTTTAACTGGTTATAGAGCTGGCAGCTAAATAATGAATAAACTATTTCTTTTGTTGTGCTCTAACCAGCGGTATATTAGCTGAAAATAAGATAAAAGAATCTTATAAGGCCGGCTTTGGGATGCTCACCGGACCCCCAAGAAAATATAGTTTTTATTTCATATTAAAATTTTCACAAAAATAGCTACTATTTAGAATTTTATATCTTAGGAAGAAAAGGTCATCAAAAGTTTTAAGTAAAATAGAGATACATCCTAGAGGAGAATTGGCATTATAGGTTTTCATTGTTCTCTCAATTTAATGTTATAAAAATTATGTATTTATATACTAGCTTTAAGGAACGGTATATGTACTGATGTGAAGGTGTTTAAAAACCTTTAACGAGGATTAAACTGACTTGTGTGAATCATTAGCGTGCACCGATTATAAAGGAATATGATGGCGGTCTGACAGAGTAAATGTTTGATAAAAGTGGCGACATATCTATAAATATTATGATCTAATCACCTTCTCTCAAAAAAAGGCTCTAATGGTTGGCGAGCCAGCTTGACACATAAATGTTTGAACCGGGTGATCGGTATAGGTTTGGTGAGAATGTTTGTTGGCTAGACTTATGAGTTGAAGGGGAAAATGATGATCTACTTTGAGAGTACATTTCCAGATGAAGTGATGTTATTTTGATGTGCTTTGTTTGGGCGTTAAAGACATGATTGTTGGCCAGAGTCATTCTTTTTGTATTGCGACGATGTAATTGACAGAATTGAGAGGACTGAATCATTAAAGTCATAAAAAAATATATCATAGCCAAATTATGCTTGAGAAAACAACTTTATATTCACCTGTGATTGAAAATATATCATAGTGAAATTATACTTGCAGTTACTGAGAAAACAACTTTATATTCACCTGTGATTGAAAATCTTTCAAAGAATGATTATTTCCTGACACTCCAAGAACAATGTTCTCTAAGCGAGAACATCCCCCATCTACTCCTATACTTTCCTCCTAAAAGTAAAATATCTCCTAGAATGCATAAGCACATAAACAATACCAGACTCTACGTCATTCGAAAGATTCAATATTATCATATTCTAAACATATCGTTTTATAATATTACTTAATTCAGTCAATTCCAAATTGAGGCCGGCTCTCGTGAACACGATCATACATTTGATAAGCTTCAAAAAAAAATATGGGACTTTTTAATTTTAATATTAAAATCTTCTAAATTAATGAAATTTGGATCCAAATATTTTATTTAGCATGATATCATCTACATTTTGCAGTGCAATAGGACCATTGGTATTCATTTGGAACAGCTTATAAAATATTCATTGATTTAACTGCCTCGTAAGAGAATATATAAATTTAATGTCTCGTTTTTTAAATATTTGGGTCGAAATATAATTTTCAATTTCTTGCATGTTAAGAATTGTCAGGCGTCGCGCAAAGATAGTCATAAATTATTGATGCCACAAAAAACTTCGTATTATCAGCGATGAAGCTTGATGCATTTTAATTATAATAATTTGCATCATAAAATATACGATCATTTTGAGCTTTAATTATAATAATTTTATAATTAAATTGGGTGTCTTGATAATTCAAACATAAAGACACCAAAATGGATACGATCAAAGTCTGAATGAGCTAAAATCAAACATTTGAAGAGGAATAGGAAGATTCCGAACATTAATTGGAAGGTTAGATAATCTCTAAATTTGATATGTTTATAGTAGAATCGAGTGTCTTAATGAGAAGGATCAAACTACCTTAAAATTACACAATTATGAGTGTATTAAGATATTGTATACACCTAAAAAGGCTTTCCGATGTTTATAGTAGAATCGAGTGTCTTAATGAGAATGATCAAACTACCTTAAAATTACACAATTATGAATGTATTAAGATATTGTATACACCTAAAAAGGCTTTCCGAGTTGTCGAATTGTCAGATGTCAAATTGTCCAGTTGTCGAATTGTCGAACTACCCAACTGCTGAACTAAACAATTGTTGAATTTCCGGTTGTCGAATTTTCAAACTACCTAGTTGTTGAATTGCCTGGTTGTTGAATTACATAATTGTCGAACTACTTAGCTACCAAATTGTCGAGTTGTCGAACTTTCGAATTAAACTTTATGACAAAATATAACATAAAACTGCAGGATGTGACGTAACTTTATTTATTTTCGTTTTGTATAAAAAAAAAGGAAGACAAACTTATCAATATGGTGCAAATGTAAAAACAAAGTAGACCACGAGCTCTTACTCCTCTCCCTCCTTTTTTCTCCCTATTCTACTCAATGTTATTAGGATTGGAAGACATAAACTTATCAATATGGGGCAAATGTAAAAACAAAGTAGACCACAAGCTCTTACTCCTCTCCCTCCTTTTTTTCTCCCTATTCTACTCAATGTTATTAGGATTTGTGCAAAACTCATGGCCAATACAGAACCCTATGTTCTAAAAGGATTCAACATCTTAAAATGAGAACTGAAAGTGGACATATGCTTTAAATCTGAAATTAAGCGTATGCATTTCTAAAGGGAAAATAAAGATCATACTAGAAGAATTTTTACCGAATGAGATAAAATCTTATCCTTAAATCTTTCATTTTACATTCTTTAAACATTACTACCTCTAAATTATTTTATTAGTGCTTTCATTTTATTTTTCTTAAATCAATAAACTTGCCCCCCATAAGTAAGTTTCCTAAGGGTAAAAGAAAAATCGTCCAAATTCTTAGACTAGTCAGCTCAATAATCTAAATGTTAGGAAAAACTTTGAAAAAACTCTTTTTGAAATATAAATAAGTTTCATAAATGATGAAGTCAGTTAACCAAGAAATTGAAGACCACGAGATTCCACCCTAGGTAAAGTTGGAAAATTACGTCGACTCCTCCCTATACGTGTAGCCAAAGTGACTCTAGGCGAAGAATAGTCTCAATCTAATCAAAATGCATTAATTCTCTTATAACTCAGTAATATTATAGGAAACAACTCATCCAGTTACAGAAAAATATGACAAAATTTTTTTAATGTTACTACTCGAGAAATTCTTCTTTTAGACCGTCGAGTCAACTATAAAATCTTTGAAGGTGAGTCATAATGCCCCCAGGATAAAATCCTGTATGTGTAGCCAAAATACCCCTAGGATGATTTCCTGCAAAAGTGTTAAGAGCCCCTAGATAGATGAATAGTTAGTACATAGTGAAATTCACCCCTCAATTTTATAAAAAAATAGTTTTAATTCGTATAAATAATTTCATTTTTAGGATAAATGAAGTCTACACCTTCTTTATCTAGACAAGTAATGCATAACCTCATATTTTTCATTGTGTTACTCCTTTTGCAATTGTGTGTTAAGGAAATAAGAGAATCGATGAACTAAATGTATATATCTGAATAGGTCTTTTGAGATATTAAATTGCTCAGCTGCCAAATTGCTCAACCGTCAAATTGTTGAACTGCCTCATTGTTGGAATGTCGAACTACGTAGCTGCTAAAATGCCTAGCTGTCGAATTGTTGAACTACCCAATTATCAAATTGTCATACTGCCCAGCTAATCAATTGCTCAATTACAAAATTATCAAATTACCAAGTTGTCGAATTGACAGACAACCCTACTGCTAAATTGTAGAGCTATTGAATTGTCAAATTCAACTATATAGTACAACATGACATAAATTTGCATAACATTACATAAAACTGTAGAAAATGACATAAAACTACAAGATATGACATAAAATTGTAGAGGACATAAAATTATAAGATATGATACATCATTACGTATCTTTTTATATTTTTTTTTGTACCTTGAGAAAGGAAGACTCGAGACTTATAAATAGGGGTCAATTGTAAGAGGAGAAAGGTGGTGGCTTTCTCTTCATGCTGGCTCCTCCTCTTCTTTCACTCATTTTCTCCTCAATGTTAATAGGAATTGAGTGTAACCCAAAATATGGGACTCACGACCTAAAAAAAATTCAACATATACATATATTGTGAAAGAATAATTTATGATTAAAGAAATTAGCATAGATCATCTAATAGAATGTTTTTAAACTTTAGCTAAATTCATCAAAATGACACTCCCAAAATACGTTAAATAAACTCAAATGCTCTACATGAAGAGCGATAGGAGAAAAGAGCTAAGAGCAAAACCTAAAATCATGAAAAAAAATTGGAAGCTAACAATCATTAACAATCATCATCGATCACCACCAATGATTATTATTGCCCAAAAATTGTTATATAGTTATTATTTCATGATTAATATCTACAAAATTTGGCCACCTAACCAATACCTCTTAAATGGTGTTGCTATAAGACAAACCTTATTGTAAGATGAGAAGGACAAAGAAGTAAGGTGAGTTTCTTCTAAAAGGAAAACAAGTATTATAATAATGTTTTTTTTTTTC